AGCGGTGGGCAACTCGTAGGCCAGCCTCAAGACAATGACAAACGGCTTGATTAGTGTCTCCTTGAGTGTGATCTCCCGGTTCTTCGTCTCAATCATCTCGGAGTTGAATAAAGCGCTGAAGTATTCGCTCGAAGACATGAGAACTGATTTGTGGACTAAACGAAACACCGGAAGAATATGCGTTACAATCAATGATAATCTCAAATAACCGCTCGAGAGGTGCGGACTTCAGTTACCATTAAGTCTTTGGTCGCCAACAATGATGACAAAGTCGCTGATCTCCGGCCGCAAGAATAGCGACATCCTATCGGTGATGATCTGATCCATGGGTGGGTGTGTGGTGTGTATGGATGCGAACACTTGGGTATCAATTGTCACACAAATAGGTCTCAAATATGAGCGAAAAAGTGGTTTGCGTTTCGTTTGGCAATCATTTGAGCCGTAAATGAGTTTGAAATGTCAATAACAAACCGTTTGCTTCACTCGTATGTCACGTGATCTGCGCTCAACTCAACGCTAATTCACGTAAGCGTTCATTAATTGCAATCAAAATCGCCGTTAAATACACTTTTCGTTTGTAAACAACTTTTTATGTGTTACACGACGTCCACTAATTATGTGTTGTTTTTGTGTTAGAAATGCCTACTATTATCATAAGGAGTTATAGTATTGCTATAAATAGGGGACCAAATGTTTGACATTTATTTAACGTATTTATGATTTGTCGTAGAAATGAGTTCAATGCTTGCCATTGGTTCAGTGCTATAGAGTCGAGGGTTTTAGCGCTCAATACAAACGCGGAAACAAATGCTAAACTAATTGAAACTTTGATTTATTTGACAAAACTTTGTTTTAATGATTTACACACATCTGGAGGCCTGGGATTTGAGCATTGACTGGAAGGCCAGACCTACTGCCAGCACAATAGACACACGAAATACGAGTTTTGTGAATAGTTTGACGGCCGTCCACGAGTGGGATACGCCGGACGCCACTACAGCCGTCATAAACCCGACAATTAGTGCCATGAGTTTGAAGACAAACGATAGCCGGAAGTCGAGTCCAGCGCACACTTGAGACACACACCGGACAACT